AAAGTCACGTGGTCTGTCAATCTCTATTGAGCTGAATTAAAACCTGAATCTGATCTGACAACACCTTTTTAATTTTCTTTTGTCACCCAGGTTTACAGTAACACACCGGAAACAATCAACCTCATCATCGAGGTTTTTGTGGAAGTGGCTCACAAACAGATCTGTTACCTGGGAGAGGTGAGAGACGTTTCCACTGTGTTACCTGCAGACAAGGTTTTAAAGTATAAAACACTGGTGGTTTTCCATCTGGCATAGAAACAAACTCCAACTGTATGTCCAAGACTCACTTAATATATTTCTGAAGAAGAAAAAACTGCACTGACAACCAAACATAGGATTTTCAATTTGACACCATCTAATGCAAATCTTGGATCACTTTGAAACTTGGTGACTCTGACCTCAAGACTAAGGTCAGAGGTCTACTTTCCTGAAGATTTTGTAAACACAATCACTTGAGAAAGATGTCACCTGGGGTTTTCAAATTGATACCATAGACGCATCGACTGGGAGGCTGTAGGTTAGCATTTTTATCGTCATGGAAGCACAGATGTAATAGTGGCCACTTGTGTACTCCTGATTCAGACCAAGTCCATGAAGCTGTACGAGGCGTGCCTAACGCTGCTGCAGGTCTACTCCAAAAACAACCAGAGCAGGAAGCGAAGCGATGCCACGGCCGAGGAGGACCAGTACCAGGACCTGCTGCTCATCATGGAGCTGCTCACAAACCTGCTCTCCAAAGAGTTCATCGACTTCAGCGACACAGGTGAGGTTTTTAAAAAATATATATTTTGTGTATTTTTCCTCTTAAAAAGAAGACGTTGCTAAAGTTTAAACTTGACCAAGTGGCTGTGCGTTCTAGATGATGTGTTTCGAAATCAAGACCAGGGAACACCAGCATCCAATCGAACAGTATCCGCCGCAGATGTCGTTCTCTATGGCGTCAATATAGTTCTTCCGCTCATGTCTCAGGACCTGCTCAAGGTAAAACATAATCACAGATGTCTCGTTATATATTGATATAATATCATGTCTGTGACATATGTGAGCTCCCGCTGATCCTGTTCTCGTTATTTTCCAGTTCCCCTCTTTGTGTAACCAGTACTACAAACTCATCACCTTCATCTGTGAGATCTTTCCAGAAAAGATCCCACAGCTGCCAGAAGACCTCTTCAAGAGCCTCATGTTCTCCCTGGAGCTGGGAATGACCTCGTATCCTCTTGCTGTGCCAGCAGTATTGATTGTTATGGTGGGATTTATGAGAGAATATCCACATATTGGCTGTAGAGGTCGGCGGATTGATCCAAATATCGATAGCATTGATCTCAACGCTGGTGTTGATATCGGTTTGATACTAGTGGAATAGGATCAATCCTTTTTCTATCCTTTAAGTTCAGTATGCAGCCTGCATAATTACATAGAACTGTTGACATAGATGTTGTCTGGAATACGGCAACAATCTTTCTAAATACTCAGAAGGCCACACCACAGGAGATTTGTTCTTTACTTGCACTTAGAGTCGTTTTCCTGTTTGCCTGCTGCAGCTGTGGACGAGCCTGTCGACAGGCAAAAACGAAATTGTCAAAATAGTTTGTGCTCCTTAACATCTGTTTCAGGATGAGTTCTGAAATCAGCCAGCTGTGTTTGGAGGCTCTGTCTCCTCTGGCTGAACAGTGCGCTAAAAACCAGGAGAAGGACTCTCCTCTCTTTATCGCCACCCGTCATTTCCTCAAGGTATGATACGCACTTCATGTTGTCATGACAGCAATACAATAAAACTTTTATAAAGGAAGAAAGGGGGGGGGAGTACTAATAAGTAAACAAATGCACACCAGCTCACACCGTCCTCTGTGCACTCAGTTGGTGTTTGACATGCTGGTCCTGCAAAAACACAACACAGAGATGACCGTGGCGGCAGGAGAAGCCCTCTACACACTCGTGTGCCTGCACCAGGTGAGTAACACACAGTGAATGCAGCTCAGGGAAAATCATTAATAGCTTTGATTTTTTTTTCTCTCTCTCTCTCGTTCTGTGCAACAAATGAAGGCTTTTAAGATGCTGAAGGTCTTTCTTTTTGAAGGTTCCCAGTCTCTGCTTTTGTTCGGCTTCTAAATTGGAATTTCTTTTCTAAGCAGCATTTTAAAATGTGGGCTTCATCAAATACAGAAGTGCTTCAGGCTGAAACCCACAACTGTGCCGTTATTAACACACTTTTACTCAGTGGCAAAAATGCGTTGATTACTGGACATAAAGCTTTTTGGTTTTTTTCCTCCTTTTTTGCGCGCTTTTAGCAAATGATTCAAACAAGCTGGCTTTCTGTTTCTGCCTTACGTTTAAATGTGACGACACATTTTTAAAAGTAACAACTGTATATGTAAGAAAATCCCTTTACTGGGACCTGAGTTGCTCCTAGCGTGCAGGCACAGTTTTCATAAATGACACAAGAAGCCCTCTAGTGGCTAGTTTGCAAAAACACAGCTGCACAAAAACCAGTTTTGTGATGTGTGAGTAGTTATTCTTTCAACCAGAGCTATTACATCAGGCATAAAGTGGTTGAAAGATTTGCAGATTCCAATTATGTATTTATTTATATACTTATAATGCTGACTTTTAGCGTATAGTGACAACTAAACAAACATGCACAAATGCAATTAAAAGGCCACATGACATTAATACCCAAAGATAAAACATTTTGGGTGTTATTTTCATGACAGTAAACAACTAATATTCATTAAATCTATTTTCTGAATATCCATCCATCTTCTTGCGCTTATCCGGGGCCGTGTCACGGGGGCAGCAGCCTAAGCAGAAAAGCCCAGACCTCCCTCTCCCCGGCCACCTCCTCCAGCTTGTCCAGGAGAACACCAAGGGGTTCCCAGGCCAGCCGAGAGATATAACCTCTCCAGCGTGTCCTGGGTCTGCCCCGGGGCCTCCTCCCGGTGGGACATGCCCAGGAAGCATACTTGTCAGATGCCCAAACCACCTCATCTGGCTCCTTTCAATATGGAGGAGCAGCGGCTCTACTCTGAGCCCCTCCCAGATGGCTGAACTTCTCACCCTATCTCTAAGGGAGAGGCCAGCCACCCTTTGGAGGAAGCTCATTTCTGCCGCTTGTATCTGCGATCTTGTTCTTTCGGTCACTACCCACAGCTCGTGACCATAGGGGGGGGTAGGGACGTAGATCGACCAGTAAATTGAGAGCTTCACTTTTACACTCAGCTCTGTCTTCAGCACGAAGGACCAGTACAGCGTCCATCGTCTGTCGATCTCCTACTCCCCTCTCCCGTCACTCGTGAACAAGACCCCGAGATACTTGAACTCCTCCACTTCTTTTCTCATTAAATCCTCTGCAAACTACTAGTGTTCATTTTTATAAAATGATGAATACTTTATTTAAAAGTTGGGAAATTTTACAGAATTGCAAGCAGAGATAACGACATGTGACTGTGACGTGTACGCTGCAGTGGATTACACTGTAAACTGGAACATTGAATCTTGTGTATGTTTTGTTCAAAGGTTTCTTTTTAACAATATAAATTATAAAATTTTTCACTTTATTATAATGAAAGAGGGATAATACTATCTGCTTTAACCCTTCGTTTGACACTGATCTGATGCTACATTGGTTTTCCACGTCAGGCGGAGTACTCGGAGCTGGTTGAGACCCTGCTGTCCTCTCAGAGAGACGCCATAATCTACCAGCGGTTAGCCGACGCCTTCAACAAGCTGACAGCCAGCAGCACGCCACCCACCATGGACCGCAAGCAGAAGGTTGCCTTCCTCAAAAGCCTGGAGGAGTTTGTCGCCAACGTCGGCGGCCTGCTCTGCGTGAAATAACCACTGGAAAACCAAACCGGCCTCTAATCATCGTCGTTCTGAAAAGCAACCAATCAAAGACGCCCCCTGCTTCATCCCTGAGAACTATGGGTAGAAGGGACGGCTGACAGCCTCGGAGGACCTCTCTGGCAGCTGGGGCGGGTTGATCTCATGCCTGAATGTTTACCCTGTTTTCACCTCCTTGGATGTCTCTCCCCCACCCCCCTTTTCCTTTCCTACCGTTACGCCCGCCTGCCCAGCACGATCAGCAGACGCGATGAAGAGGAGGAGGAGCTAATTGTGGAGACTAAACTGCTGAGCAGATAGACTCAGAGGTTCATGTTAGACTGAAGCAACTGAGCACGGACTGTCAAGCAGCAACCGATGATTGTCCACCTCCTCCTGCTCCTCCTCCCCCTCCTCATGTGCCTGGAACTTTCTGGAGTGTGCACACACACACACACACACACACACAGGAACATAGAGAGCGACACTAAGGGCAAAACAAGTTGCTGTTCTTCAGGTTTTGTATGCAGTTAGAGGCATTAGAGGGGCCAACCCACCCTAGTTCAAACACACACACACACACGTCACCCCAGTCCTTCCCAGAGTGCCTTTGTTCTGCCGATTGTTCTCTATGTGTGTGTGTGTATGTGTGTTATAAGGAGAGAGAATCATGCCATACGAAAAATGACAACCAGTAAGGACCGTGCCTGCCAAAAACCTAAGAAGACATACAAAGCATGAGGTGTGGCCCCGGCTGTCTTTGATGCTCTCGGAACAGGAGGACATTTGTTTGTTGGGAACGTCAGAAAACCAAATTGAGATTGTGTTTGACTAAAGGGTGTAAATATCTATAAATATATAATGTTTTCAAGGCTGATACCCTTCAGAAATGTACGTTACGGGGATTAAAGATGACGGAAATGTTTTTATACACCAGTAAAAGTCAGGCAGAGATGTACGAGTTCAACAATGTATGAATTCGGCTAAAGAGGGAGCAATTTTCTCGCTGTTGACCTTTGCTGTTTGATATAGTTTTTTTTTTCCCTTCCTATTTGGATTGTAGTTTATATTGTGGCCCCCTTGCCTCTGGACACGTGAAGACCAGAGACAGATGGCGCCTTGAAAGTTTAGCAGGATGATTTTATTAGTATTTTTCTACAGCAGCACCTCCACCCGATCACTCTTCAACACACACACTGGATATTACAGAGACTGTTTGAGTTGAAGGACAGCAATAACAAACCAAATAAAAAGGATGAGAGCCACTTGCTGAAGCATTATGTTGGAGACAGAACCCTCCTCGTTCACAGTCCTATCCCTGTTATTGTAGATGGCTGTTTTGTTAATGAAGTGTAAAGTGTACATAAACGTATTGTATAAAACGTCCTGGCTTCTGTACTTTCTTTGACATGTGCGCTGGCTGTAGTAAACTGTTGATTTGTCGATTGTTCTACAGCAAACCTTTGAGTCTGCAGACTGTGAAGGCAGATACGTTTCAAGACATCCTGATCAGTCTTTGTTTTTTGTGAACTTTTAAAAGATTATGGAAAGATTTTCATTAAAAGAAATGATCAGAAGTGGAGGATCGCCCAATCTAGAAGTGATCTGGATCCAGGAATCTTTGGAAGGATTCTTTATCCGACTGAGTTAGTATTAATGTTGTCAAGAAAGCGTCTCTTTCTGGATCCTGGGAATCGGTTAATGGGTGGTTTTAGCTTTGGCGAGAGTATGGAAGTGCTTACAACCTCAAAAGGTTTTATTTCGGAAACAGAGTAGAAAGTAGAAATCTTTCTATATTTACAGCTTATTTTGAATCGTTACACTATAAATGTTGTGGTTTGTAGTGAGCTTCACATTTTATTATAGCTGGAACCAACCAGTAGAGGATTTCAGGGGTAAATGTTTGATGGGGGTTCAAAATTTAGGAATATTCAAAAAGATGCGTGTGCACATACCCAGCAACTCTGTTAACCTGCGAAGAGAGCTCATGGATTGTTTCCAGCTTACTGTAAAGACGACCCAGGACTACACACCACCATCTGCTGTGATGCTGCTCTGCTGCAGACAGCTCAGAAGATCATAAACAATGGCGTGGAAGTCATTCTGCTGGACAAATTGTGTGATAACAAATTAAAGTGTTCTGCTTATAATTATGTTCTGTTTAAATTTAAAACAAACACACAGAACAACATATGCACTAAATGATGAAGTTCCTCAGGGTTCTGTCCTGGGACCAATTCTAATTACTTTATATTTATCCCTAAGGCAGTATTGTTAAGATTTTTAATTCATTTATTTTTTACCTTACAATATATGGTACCGTGAGAATACCGTCCAATGGACATAAAAGTACTCTTAAGTACTTTTATATACAGTAAATTCCCAAAAACACTTGCCACATTTCAACATGGCGTGCAGAGTGTCCTTAAAAAAATTATGAAACTGAAAAAGTGGATGACCAAAGAAGTGCCGAGACTGAAAAAAGCCCAGCTACAGGAGATAAACGGTATATAAAAGTCCTGACCCGAGAGTTTCATGGGGAGCAGTGCATCTTCCGCTGATCTGGCTACAGCTACTGAAGCATGACAAATTACACAAGAACTGGACTAAAAATCAGCGACGATGGGTCCAATCAAGACCGCACATTGGCTGTGTTTAACATTGTCATCAGTACATATGGAGGAGGTCAAAAGATAGGTATAACAATATCTACAAGCATCTGTAAAACGTGCTGGATGCAGCTGGGGCTGCATTTTAGCCAGTAGAGTTGGGGACCCTGTCAAAACTGACTCTGGAGCAGAACCTTGACAATACTGAAGCCGTGTGGGATCATCTTAACATAGAACAGAACAAAAGACAGCCAACATGCAAAGAAGAGCTTCGAATGTCCTCAAAGAAGCCTGGAGAACATTTTCTGAAGACAACTTAAAGAAATTACAAGAGTAAGAGTTCAGGCTGTGATGAAGACTGCAAATGTATTTCTTTCTATGTGTCCAGATATTTTTAATAAATCACTGCAGCTATTTCCCATTTTCCCAGAGAAACATAAAGAAGTGGAGAGTTGCTCAGGGCTTTTGTACAGTTATGTATTTTAAATAAATAAATAGGGCCAATTTAGCTGGGACTGAGGAGGAAGGTTCTTTGTTGTTTATCAGTATAGTCTTTGTAGTACCTTAAACACACACATACACACAGTCATGTACATCCACATATTT